AGACAAAAACATTAAAACCCATTACAAACGAGGCATTTGTTGCATCCAGTGGGGACATAATTACTGATTCTAATGACTTCTACTGTCTTTTTACGAGTTGCGTTGCGTTGCATTGCATCGTGCCGTGACAACATAAAACCCTGTCTGCATTTGTGATCAGAGAAATTACAAACAACAAGTGCTACTCCACACTGCCCAAAACTCGCGTTTGAAACATCAGTGGCAAATCCTTTAAATGAAAATGAAGGAAAAATTTAAATCGCATCATATGACCCCTTTAAGTCAAACTTGAAGCAAATTGATATAGTTCTCATTGTTATGGTCCTAATGGAGCTCATTTCCAGTCTGAAACACCATTTATGTCCTATATACTAAAGATAAGAAAAGTGCCTGAAAAGTGTGCTTTCCTATAGCATTTTTATTTTAGCCAATCATGCATTGAATGGTTGTGTGTAGCGTCAATAGCATCACATTTACTGCTGTCAGAGTTTTGGTATCTCTCTTATGAAGGCTTTAGAAGCGGTTCAGACTAATTACTTTGGCTCGCTGGTGACTCTACAAGACAGTGAGAAGGGTCATACGGAGGCTTTGCAGCTGCTGCAGAGACAGCTCACTGAAACCAAGGTACACTTCTGTCAGTGCATGTTATTCCAAGAGAAAAATCCCCAATTTAACCTGGTGCTCCATAAAACACAATCTTCCCCTGGACTTCCATTAAGGGGGCGACCCAGGCCATATAACGATTGGAGTGAATGCTGCTGTCATTTTAAATAATGCGCCACTCCTTTTTAATCAGAATCGCATGATATGTAATAGTTACAGTAGTCTTTATTGCTGAATGCTTTATGCCTGAGGATCAATTCTAGATTGATGGACTGACTGTGATTTATCGGCCGGTCATCCGCACATTCAGCACCCGGATTCAAATTACTATGACTTGATATTGAAACCACGTCTCAGTTTCATCTCTGATGGGACTCTATTAAACCTAATCTGGAATCAGGTTTTGTGGAAATCGAAATACAGCTGACAAACAGCTCATACTGCCCACCGCAGCCATTACAGATTCATGGCAGGTCTCTCACTCTGTCCCTTGCTCATTTCTCTCTCTCTCTCTCTCTCTCTCTCTCTCTCTCTCTCTCTCTCTCTCTCTCTCTCTTTATTCTGTTGACATTGAATTTCCAACAGGCACATTGGTTTATTGAGCAGGTCTTTAATCTTGACACCTTGTTTTAATCAGTGAAGAGAGACACCACAGTCAATAATGCAACTTTGTTCATCTCCCTGTTTTTTCACCCTCTTTTTTAATTATCCCGCTGTTTGGGATTGGGGACTATTGCAGAGGAAGAACTTCCTGACTCTGTGGACGTCTGATGTTGATCTTATTTGTCATTAGTTAGTCTTCATCCCACATTTTATACAACACTGCCTGCCACCCCACTAATGTGTGTGTGTGTGTGTGTGTGGACACATTAGTTGACTCCATTCATGCATTTATTCATTCATTCATTCATGCATTCATTCATTCATTCATTCATGCATTTATTCATTCATTCATGATTGAAATTTTAGGTAAAAAATGTATCTGTATTTGAATCATTTGAATCTGTAAGAGAAAAGGCTATGTTATACACTTTACAAATAGAAAGCATATTTTATAGTATTTTTAAAGTATGCATATTCAGTGGAAAACTTTTTTTGTAAAAATAAACAGATTTTTGTGCGTTAGAAATTAATTTGATTGTCAACATTCAAAATACTATAAAATATAAATATATTTATATAGTATTTTCTATGTGTGTATATAATATAATATGTTTGTAATATGTGTATATATTTATTGCATATATTATTTTTTTTATTATTTTTTTAATGGTTGACTTTTCTGTCTCCATTTTAATCACCTTTTAGTTTCTTTTTTTTTCTCCACTTGTCAATAAGAAATGAAAATGAACCCTATTTACTCTCTTGAATACAAGTTCCTAGTTATATTGTGAGTGATTCATCAGTACGTTATTCCAGAGAGAATGTTTGTCTTCATAATCTTTCATCAAAATATAATAATTAGTTCCATGTTTGAAAGGACAGATGTCACCAAGCTCTCTTTTTTTCAACCTGTCCTCTCCGACCGGTCATATAGACCCACTTTTGACAATCCAGTTCATTTCTAACGCACAAAAATCAGTTTATTTTTACAAAAAAAAAAGTTTTCAACTGAATATCCTGTTTTACAGCATTCATATTGTGGAAGTAAAATGGATTGCAGACCACGTTGAATGTAACATGTCATGAATTTTCGAAGAACAAATTCCTTGTAGTCTCTTAAATTGATTTAAACTCGACTTGTATCTCAGTGATTGCATTTTCTGGAAGCAGGCTGTGTTTTCGTTTTAATTGATCTCCCAGATTGCATATTTATCTTGAAAGCTGATTAAACTTTAGTGTCTTTCAGTTCTTTCCCAGGCTGTCCGCTGAAAATGTAAATGTTTGCATTGACCAGCCGGTCGTATCCTGTCTGAATTTATTGATGTGGTGCCTTAAGATGCTTACGAAGGGCCTGACGCTTGACATTGACATTCAGAACCATCAATGCAAAATGTTTCCTGAAGCCCAGACTCTCCTGTAGAGATAAGAGGACTGTCTCAAGAGAGCTGTCACAGCACAACCTTTTGAGGAGATTTATTGAGTAAACTGAATGCAATAATAAAGCAGGCTCATCGTTTCTAAATGATAATAAAGTGGCTGATTCAGTGATGTGTTAGACTATAGATCATGTAAAGTTACTTTTAAAATAAAGTCTCTTACTCTTAAAATAACTTTTCTATGGAAGCTTGTTTACACCACATGATAAAAAAAAATTTTTATCTCACAATTCAGCCTTTTGTCCTGCCGTTTTTCTCAGAATTCCAGAGAAAAAAAATCCAATTTGCGAGATGTACAGCAAACTTGAAACAGTGCGGGAAAAAAGTCAGAATTATGAGTTTATATTAGGAATGCACGATATTATCGGCACTTTATCGGAATTGCCCGATAAAGGCTTACAATGTAAACATCGGCATTGGCCCAATATGAAAAATTATGCTGATATGCCTTGCCGATAAGACGAATAACTCACACGTGCTCAGGGTGTGTTAGCGATAAGATCACGTCAGCAGTGTGGTCATTCTTGAAGCAAACTTTTGCCTGACAGGTTTAAAGGTCAGGAGGTATAGCTTACATGAATAAAAATCACAAACATGACACTTGTAAATTAAATAATTTAATGTATACAGATTTATTCATTAATGTATACTGTTTTTTTCAAACGGATTATAAAAACTTTAAAAGCTCTAAAAGATTTTCAGAATTTTTGCAACTCTTTTGACCATCTTTAGACCATCTACAAATGTTAAATCTTCAAATAAAATTAAGGTTACCAGTGCATATGTCTGCAAAAAAATGCAGTGATTGATTTATAGTTATTTTCAAAGCTTTCAATATACTATCATTATAAAATAACTTCAAATTCGTAAGTTTTTGTTAAAAACTAACCAAAATGAAATATAATTAGTATATAATCTCTGCACAGGAGAGACTTGGTGTTGTTTCTAAACAAAAGGAAATATATCGGTTTTGGCATTGGCTGAATGAGTTGAAAAATATTGGCATTTCGAATATTGGCAAAACCCAGTATCGCGCATCCCTAGTTTATATCTCGCAATTTTGAGGAAAAAAAATCTGAATTGAGAGATAAAAAGTTGCAGTTACCTTTTTTTATTTTTATTCTGTGGTGGAAATGTTTTCTATTTAAATATATATTAAAATTGAATTTATTGCTGTGATGCAAAGCAGAATTTTCAGCAGAATTTCTCCAGTTGTCAGTGTCACATGATCCTTCAGAAATCATTCTAATATGCTGACTTGCTGCTCAAGAAACGTTTTTATTATCAATGTTAAAAACTGCTTAATATTTTTGTGGAAACCGAGACACATTTTGTTTTTCAGGATTCTTTTATGAAGTTAAAAAGAACAGCATTTATTGGAAATACATTTTTTGTAAACTTATAAATGTCTTTACTGTCACTTTTGATCAATTTAATGCATTCTTGCTATTAATTTCTTTCAAAAAAATAAAAAACTTACTAGCTCCAAACTTTCGTACATTAGTGTACATTAAACTTTAGCATGTAGCTCATGTCAATAATAGCTCTAGTTCATGTTTGCTCGTTTTTAACTTGTTGCCACCTCCCCACTAGCATGCTCTAGATTTAGCTCAGTGGCAGGCGTGCTGACAGACCCTCTCGTCTGAAGTGCCGATTTCGAATCTGAATGGAAGACCCCAAGGAAAGATGTGTCTGATTAGCAGATGCGGCAGCGAGCAGGTTGCTTGGAGGCCGAATTGCACTGGGCTCATGGGACTTGTTTACTGGCTTTAAATAGACCCCATCCGAGACAGCGTGGCCCACGGGGAGAGCGGTTTCAAGAGACCAACACCACTTCAGCATCACTAAGTCCCAATCATCCATCAGACGACACCAGGTGGGCTGACTCAGCCTATGCAAATGACGCCAGAGACGGACGGGATCTTAATAGGATTTCATTTTCCTGGTGGCTAGGAAATCACATTTCCCACTGGAAAGACAGACGTGGAACAAGACCTTTATTTTATTTGTTAGTATGAGTAATCTTGTAATCGGTGAAGTCTGTGGTTTTCTTCCAGCTCTTACTATAGGCGAAGAAAGAGATGAAAATCTAGATTTTGCCGTGATTGTATGGAAGGCCATCAGTGGAACGGCTTCTGTCCTACATCGATTCGACCTTGAGGGTTTCAGATCTTTGACGACTGTAGTAACTGTAACTGATGTTCTTTACACTTTAATGGAGATGATCGGCTTCCTCAGAAACGCCTCGTTTTATCTCTCTATGACTTGTTTTCCTCCTTTTCGGTCAATGCCGAGTTTGTTGGCTAGTTTCACAATTCTCTTTTAGGTTCGGCATCGACCCCCGCTGTTTTTATCTCAATGCTCATCTGCTCGTCTGCATGTGTAATCATGTCCTTCTCATGGAGGCTGTTCTACAGTAACCCGGAAGATTGAGGGAGGAGCAACCTAATGCCATTTCCACTGACTATTAGACTGTGTCCTCGACTCCAATGATGCGGGCTTATGAGGCACTTTCCACTTGCTTGTTAGTCCACTACGTTCCACTGAGACTCTGCCAAAATTATAATTTAAAAATAGTAATTATACATATAAAATATAAAAATAAATAAGAGTTTAATATGAATATAGAGACATTAAATATAAGTATTGTGTTTTTTAAGTTTGACAACCCACTTCGTCCCGAGACTCTGCAGAAGTAATTTAATAATGATAGTAATTTTAAATGTCAAATACATTAATAAAATATTTATATATTTAATTTTATATATATATATATATATATATATATATTTATAGAACATAATATAATATATTATATTGAATTAATTATATAATAATAAATAAATATAATTTGGTGCATTACTGTAATATTAAATGTTGAAATTAACTAACTAAATTTTTTGTATATAATAATGTTTTAATGGTAATTGAAATAATGGGTATTGGCACTAATTGATTCCATTTCAATATATATATATATATACACATACATATACACACACACACACACACACACACACACACACAAAC